ATAGCACTTGTTATCGCTGAGATATACTTCCCCCCATCACCCGCTTCATACATATTACACACCTTTAATGGAAAAAAAGTCATATAGTAATTAGACCGAAATATTCAAAATCAAATGATTGATGTATAATAGTTATAAACCTAACAAAAATTGAGGAACTTCAAAAAATTCCAATTTAAAAAATTTTCAAGAAGTTGAATGCATAAACAAAATTACTTTGCATTAGTCAGAGCACTTTTTAAATTTTAGCAAATTCTTGATGGGAATAAGCATTTTAAATTGTATCAATTTAAATACTTATGTTAAATATATTACAAATATTTAATATATACTCAGACCAAAGCAAACTTTTTTATCAAATCATACATCTTTACATTTATGGAATCCAATCATTAGAAATTTTGTCACCCACCATGCTTGTTTCGATGAAAAATTGATAGTGTTTGCAGGGGCTATAATAAATTAAAAGTAAAACCTTCTATTAATATTTAAATTTGGGACAAATGTGTATTATTATAATACATAATGATAAATGGGCATGGCTATGCTTTGGAGTCGGCATTCGCCGCTAATCAATAACAAGGTAAACGGAAAATTAGTCCCCACATTTTATACACAGACAAATTGGTCCCTGGTCAATTTTTTACGATATTAGGTCAATATGACAATATAGGTATATGAATAGGTATAATAGTCAATCCCAGACAGCATTTTGTAATGATAATATTATTATAATAACTTTTTATTAAATTTATTCGTTACTATAAATCATAATGTTAAAATAATATTAAAAAAAAAAAAGATATCACAATAAGGTTTGTTTTGATGGATTATAAAATTTTAAGTATAACACTATACTAGCATTACAATACTAACTATTTTTACTAAACTGTAATAAAATATTTCCCTTGATAGATAATAATCTTTTATTGCTGACTGACCGATCTACCTTTATCAGTTATTGCTGTACATCCGTCTAATTCGTACTAGTATACCTACTAATAATAGAAATAATAGGATGTTTTAAAACCAGCCACAGAAAAATAAAATTGGGATATCAATATATATATATACCATAAATATATTATATGAGAATGTTTTATGCAAAAAAATATTTTGTATTTAACTTTTAAGCCGGGGACCAATTGTCAATTTGTACAATTTTGACAGGAACCAATTGTCCGCATTCTGTGTTTTTTGCAGGGACCAATAAATTGTCCTAAATTCAATAACAATTATCAAAAATTACATATTATATATTATAATTCACAAAACTTAACCTTAAACAAAATAAGAAGATAATAACAGGTATCACATAACAGAAAGAACAGAAAGGGCTCTCAATAAAAGATTCCTAAGAAGACCCAGGAAGCATTAATTATATCATACAACTTCAATAAACCAGGAAACATACTGCACAAATTTGAAAGGCATTAGTGAATCAACTTCTAAGATTTTAAACATTTGAACCATTTTCAATTAACAGCTAGGAATAAATATAGAACACAGATTTTAGAAACAACTGAGAAATTTGAAAGAAAAAGAAAATTTAGAAAAACATGAACAACATTATCATCAAAATAAATCAACACTTGACAGATCAAAACAAGTAGCAAAAGATATTATGTTTCCTTAATATTGTGTAATCTGTGATATTTTCATACCTACTGATAAATTCAATATAAAAAAAAAATGTGTATGTACTTCATAGGCATGTCTAAACCTTTGACGCAGAGAGTGAAACTTGGTGCGTACTCAAGGGGCTAATGGGCCCTAGTCCCCTTTTTTGAACTATTTTTCTTAATTCATGGTGTCACTTGAAATCGCAGAGGATGCAGGTGCATACCCTGCACCATAGGCGTGCGCAGGGGGTATGCAGGGTATGCAGCTGCAATCATGCAGTGCTGCAATTCCCAAGCTTTTGCAAAGTAAAAAATGTTTACTATTTTAGAGATTACTATTACAACATTTTCAATTTTTATGATGATAAAATACATGTCTGATAGTAATGAGAAATGATTCAACAAAAACAAATAGCTTGCAAACAACATATTTCAATGTAATAAATTTTCTATGTATCAAAATTTTCTCTGGTCTCTTTAAACTTTAGATTCAATA